ATAACTTTTAAACACACACACGCACGCACAAACGCACCCCCCCACACACACATATATATATATATATATATATATATATATATATATATATATATATATATATATATATATGTTCAAAATATATATATATTTATATTATAAATAAATATATTATATATTATATATTAGTTTATGAATTATATATCATATATTATATATTATATATTATTTATATATATATATATATGTTATGTAGCAGTTGAAATGTTTTGAATTTACAGAAATACATATACACATTCGCAAACACTTTTAACTCCCTAAAAGATGGTCTCATATGAGATTGAAATACTTGGGGAAAAATAAAAATTATTTGAAAGGAAATATTGGTATTTTTCTTCATCAATTTTCCACAGCTGCCATGAAATTAAATTAAACTTGTAAAGATCGAAACCAAAATAAATATACATAATATCTCTAAATTGTTTAACCAAACCTGCATAAATGAAAACATGCTGCCTATATATATATATATATATATATATATATATATAAACCGGCCTGAATGTATAAGATACAGGTTCGAATCCTGTCGCAGAACGAATATTTTCTATGAAAATTTCTCGGACATTCAAGCCGGTAAATGTTATTTAATACTGTTTATTATAACTATACTATATATTATTATATATTCTGTTTATTTCATAATGTGTGACGTCATTTGTTTACATTTGCTACGCCATGAGCAGATATGAATGAACGTGAAAGATTTATGGAAGATTGTAGTTTAAAAGCAGTAAATTCGACCTAGCTGGCCGAACGATCCTCTGTGGCAAAATCGGTAAAGGCACGTCAAGCTAAATGACGGTTCCGCATAGGATACAAGTTCGAATCCTGCCGGAGAACGAATATTTTCTATGAAAATTTCTCGGACATTCAGGCCAGTAAATGTTATTTAATACTGTTTATTATAAACAGAGCATTTACTTAAATACTTGTATCTATAAAAAGAATGTTCAACATAAAAATGGCTTTATATATATCATAAACTGTTACATTGGAACATGCATTTAAGATATTTAATTTAAAATAAATCTGTAAAAGTCACATAAATAAGGAAAATGTATTTTGTTTTCAAATTTATAATGTAAGGTTGGTATAGTTAAGTAATTGTTTGAATATGTAATTTCATTGAAAATGTCATAAAGTTTGAATTGCTACCTTGTATCTTTAATATGTTTCTTAACTTGTCACGTTATATTGTAGGCATATTAAGGAATTCATTTTAGTATTTTGCTAAACTTTATATCTCAATAATTACTCTTCTTATGTCATATTATCTTTATATAAACATTTTAAAGTGATACTTAGTGGTTTATTCTTGACTAGCAGTAGAACCCGGCGTTGCCCGGGGATGTAACAGTAAGAGACAGATCAAGTATCGACCATCATAAAGACTGAAAAATAAAATTGATAAAGATTATTGTTTAAGGTTAATGGACACGCATGCCTTAATTATTTTTTTTTTTTTTTTTTTTTACGAATTGGTCAAACTCAAACAAAAACATTGTTTTCAATCGTTATGAGTCTACCGATTGAATAGAATTTTATTATAAACAATTGTCTTGTAAATGGAATTTTTAAAGCATTCTGAATGGAAAAATAAAGAAAAAAGTGTGCAAGACAATAAGAAACACTACCTGCCAAAAAAAAAAGTGGAGTTTTGTTGAAATCGGTTGAAAAATGTAGGAAATCCGATCCCATATATAAACGAACACACACACACAAACAACCAACCTGGGTTTTATAATAAGAATCACTCGATAACTTGATATTAATAAGTATAACTCGATATGTGTTGTCCCCCTTTCATTAATGCTTCTTAATCATGTTTTCAAATTGATTTTGTGCAAAAACAATTGTGGTTTTCTAATTTTGGGTACTGTCAGAACCACCGCAAGGTAATTTTACGTAGTCCTGTGAAGTTTTGTTGAAATCGGTTGAAAAATGTAGGAAATCCGATCCAATATATAAACGTACACACACACACACACACACACAATCTGCGTTTTATAATAAGTAAGATTAAGATATTAAATAGGTTAGTATTCGTAAATTACAAGTAGTAAGTTTAGTTGTGAATTGGCTTATAATTATTTTACTTGTCATGTTTTTGATAATAGTTTTTAATTTAATATAAATATATAGAAATCAGATAAATGTTTAAAATTTATTTTAGTTTTTAATTTAAAATAAATATATAAAAGTCATATAAAAGTTTAATTTGTATTCTAATTTTTAAAGTAAGGTTGATATAGTTAAGTAGTTGTTTTGTTTGTATATGGTTTTTCTTTTTAAAGTGTCTTTTATTTACGTACTATGTTTAATTTTGTTTGAATATGTGATTTCATTCAAAGTGTCATAAAGTTTGAAATGCTATATTGTACCAAACATATGTTTCTATCTGGACGCGTTATATTTCAGTTCAAATTTTAATTCTCCATCTTAACCTGTCTTCATTGGCTAAAGCTGGTATCAACAACTTGTCATTTCTTATTTTCTTCACTTTTCTTTTTCCTTTGTATCTGTAAAATTGGGATATACTCCTCTCCTTCCTTTTTCCTTTCTTTTCTTTTCCTTCTCTAGGTCGTAGAGTTCTTTTCTTATGCCTTTTCTTTCCTTTTTTTCTTTTTTCTTTTTATTGATTTCTTCTTCTCTTTCATTTTTTTTTACTTTAGTCGGCCTTTTTTTCTTTTCCTTTTATAGTAGAAATAATTATATATATATATATATATATATATATATATATATATATATATATATTTTCTTTGCCGTCTATGAAAAATTTTCATAAACGTAAACAGAAGTGATGTTTCATAAATCGCGTTTTTAAATGAAATCGTTTATTGCCACCAATGTCAACCGCCTGATGAGGTGTCTTTAGATGTTGAAACAAAAATGCTCTGTTTCTAATAAACAGTATTAATAACATTTACCGGTCTGAATGTCCGAGAAATCTCAAAGAAAAATAGAACATGAATCGAACCTGCATCCTACACGGAACAGTCATCTAGCCTGGCGTGCTATACCAGTTTAGCTACGAAAGAAGCGTTTGGTTAGCAAGATTGATTATCCTACTTTTAAAATACAAACTTTCCATAATTTCTCTCGTATAATAAATACAGAGAACTTTGTTATGAGTCAGTTTTAATATTTTATATTACTAGGATCCGTTCGGATTATATACCAACGGATTTATTACCTTTACTATGTATATATATAAACAAAAATTTAAAATTCTTGAAGTTTTATACATAAAACAGTTGAAACCTTATCTGAACAAAATAAACTATGAAATCTCCACAAATATCCCTAAATGCCTATAATTTATAACAGAAGCCATTGGTTTATACCAACAGCTTCCCATACTTAATACTTGTCGTTTTTCACTCTCGCGTGGTCATGTCTGACGTAACGAGCTGCGACGCGATTTTCGCTTCCGCGTCTCGTATATACGTGTTTGTCGTTACTTGGAAATTTTTCATGCAGCAAGGGTGGACTATCATTGTTGTTTCGTCCGTATGTTATTTGATTTATTGAAACTGTCCATCTTTGATAATGGCTTATGTCAGCCGAAAGCTTAGATAGGATTTAAACATGTATCAATATGGTGATTTCCTTTCGTCTTTCAATGATAATGTTATTTAGCTTATCAGACAATATGAAAAGAACTTACTTAAAATAAATAGACAAAACCTGTCTATATTATTTAATGAAACATGCATATATATATATATATATATGTGTGTGTGTGTGTGTGTGTGTGTGTGTGTGTGTGTGTGTGTGTATTTGGTCATAGAACAAAATGGGCAGAAAAAGGGAAGGCTTTTTCAGGTGATAATTCTGATATGAAGACTTCCCCCAAGTGACGAACATAAATCACATTTAGGCGCAAAAAATTTTGCCGTCAAAATATGTCTGTCAAATATTTTATTTGTTGTGCATGGAAATAAAATGTATGAATTGTCTGACTAAAGTTCATTTTTTGTTTGCATTCTTGACAGTCCGACAGTTGCCCTCATTTTGTCGAATGACCTTCAATAAATTTCGAAATAAACATTGCATTTTTTCTTCATTTTTTGCAATTTTTTTTAGTGAAATAAAAATTCATTAGATAGATAGATAGATAGATAGATAGATATGAAAATGAAAGGAAAGAAGAATCATTCTATTGTATTGTATATACATAATTGTGTATTACACACACACACATATATATATATATATATATATATATATATATATATATATATATATATATATATATATATATATAAAAGGAGAGAGATAAAGACAGAGAGAGGGAGGAAATGATAGTTTTATACGTAGAATGAGATGAAAAGTTGAAAAGAACTTAGGGAGATAGTGAAATTTTAGATAGATAGATCGCTTCCATTATAAATGTAGCATATTTTAGCTATAGAATGAGATAGATAGATAGATAGATAGATAGATAGATAGATAGATAGATAGATATGGGTAATATTCGATAGAATGAGATAGAGAGAGATATGGAAAGAGATATGGAAAGAGATACATAGATAGATAGATAGATAGATAGATAGATAGATAGATAGATATGAACAGAATGAGATAGATAGATAGATAGATAGATAGATAGATAGATAGATAGATAGATAGATATTGTCAGACGAGTAAATGATACCGCGAAAATAAAACTAGAAAGACTGAATAAAAAAAAAGCTAAATCGCTTGTACACGACTGAAATATGGAAATATTTTTGTTGCCATAAATGATTTCATAAATTAAGCAAAGTAAAAGTTAAAAAAAAGTAAAAATTAACGTCGTAGAAATAAGAAAATGAAATAAGCTTCGAGAGACGAGTTAAGCGCAAACGCTGTCTGGTCACAATGAAAATTCTGTCCGAACAGTTAAAATTTACTGCAAAATATTAGCAAACAAAAAAGAAGCGGGAAAATGCTCTTTCGACAAAATGGCGACA